TATGTTAATTATAATCTATTAATTAGTAAATAGTTGGTAAATAAAAAATAAATAGTAATTACTCAATTAATAATTAATATTAAATTATAATTATTAATATGTTATATGTTAATCAATAATAATTAATAGTTGATAAATAGTCATTAATCATTATAAAAAGAATAATTGCTAAAAATTGATCATGTGATATATCAAATAATAGATTTTTAAATAAAAATTAATAATGAATTAACTTATTATTTAATTATGTAACTAAAAGCTAATAATTTAAGCAGTAAACGTAATATTAATAAATTATGTATATACTAATTATTTTTCTTAATACACTAATTAATTACTTATAATCTAATAAATATGAGTACATTACTAACATAGTAATTACTTATAATTAATTACTAATTACTATTTTTTTAATTATTTAGCATATTAATTTATTATATATACAGTTTAATTACTAATGTACTCATTAGTGATAATTTATCCATTATTATTATATTATTAATATATAAATTTTTATTTACTAAATAATTATTAATTATTAATTACTTAATATATTAATTTAAGATTATTAATTACGATTACTCAAAACAAACATAAATATAACCAAATACGATTTTACTTTTTTATCATACTCAAACCAATCTCTTGAAAAACCATCAAACGTAATTTCAGAATCACATCTAGAATGATTTTCAAAACAATCTCATTATTATTTTTATATTGAAAACAAAATCATTTTGAAAATATTACCGAACAGGCCCGTAAAATCTTTTTTAGTCTGTGTCTTGTTTGTATGGATCATCTAATCCAAGCCATTCATGATTCAGCCAATCATGGACCAGGCCAGCTTCTACACAATTTTGTTTCCTTGTCTTTCCACATGAAAGGGACGAGACAACGTGAAAAAGGATGCACCCAAACAGAGAACATCAACTATCACCAATTTTTTGGGAACACCATTGACAATGTATTATAAAAATATAATTATTTGTCATGTCTCGTGATGCTTATATTACATTAATTTGCAATTGTATCATTACGTTTGCAATGCTTTAAGGAATGTAAGTAATAAGAGGAAACAAAGAAGGGAACTCTTACATTATGAACTGCTATTTTATTACATTCTTAGAAGTGTTGTATTGTCTGTGGAATTAGTTTTTCAGGGATCTGACATGTGAATATTCACATTAAAAATTTAGTACGTGACACAAAACTATTTATACTCACATATTAGACTGTCAAAAAACTAATCTCATAACTAAAACAATTATTCTGATAAAATAGCAATTATTACCATGAAAGTTCCCGACAAAGAAAGAAACTAAACTTACTAGAAATTCATCATATCTTCAATGAACATTAAACTTTCGGTTCTCATTTTTCCCCCACATAAAGTTTGGCCCCTCTCATCATTGACATTGCCCTTGAAAAAGCTACTCTTAAAATTTAGAAGCCCTTTCTTTTTCTTCTTCTTTAACAACGATAAAAGGGAAAACTAGAAAAACGTAATGAAGTAGTAAAAGCACCATTCTAAACGAGTAGTCTCAGCTTTTCTTTTTCCTTTTTCTGTTTCCTTTTCTTTTTGGGTTCATCACATTCTAAATATTAGGGAAAAAAAAAAAAAAAAAAGCCAACTATATTTATCACAAGATAATAATATATTTAACATCTACTTAGTTTGGTCCTTGGTAGTTCCCAACTGAATATGACCGTTAGCTTTAGCATTATTATTATCTTGGCCGTTGACTTCCTTGCCCATGCTGTTATTCTTCAAAATTTCATTAGCGGACCTCCACTTAAAGAATTTTCCAAAAAGGACCTCCATATCTTCCAAGGTCCTACCCTGCGTCTCCGGAAGCAATGTATAGAAAAACACCCAAGCAACCACAGCAAGAGCCGCGAACAGAAAGAAGGCCCCACCAATCGTGATCCCCTTATACAGAGAAATAAAACTCATCGAGATGACCCCACTCGTCACCCTATTGACCGCCACTGCCATACTCGCGCCCTGCGCGCGTAGCTTCAACGGGAAGATCTCCGAGCTGTAGACCCACGTGATGGGCCCCAACCCGATCGAGAAGAACGCCACGTAGGCAAGCACCATCGCGATGCAGAGCACAATCGCCCACATCAGCTTCTCCGAAGAGTGGTCGATAACCGTCAGCGCGATTCCCAACGACGCGAGGGAGAAGATCATGCCGCCCACGCTGCTGAGGAGCAACGGCCGCCGTCCGATCCGGTCGAGGAGGAAAGTAGCGACCAGGATGAAGAGCGTCTTGACGAATCCGACGGCCATGGTGGCGAGGAGCTTCTTGTCGGAGGAGGTGATCCCGGCCTTCTCGAAGATTCTCGGGCTGTACAAAACGACGGCGTCTATGCCGGAGATCTGCTGAAAAAAGTGGATTCCGATGGCGGTGATGAGAATGTGTCTGACGGCCGGAGTTGGATGGAGTAAAAGCTCCCGCCAGACGCCCTCGCCGTGGGAGCGCTTGCTGACTTGGACGACATCGTCGGTGCAGTGTTCAGGGATTCCGGCGGCTTGTTTGATGTCAGAGAGGCGGAGTTGGGCTTCTTCGAGGGAGTCGGAGGTTTTGTCGAGGACGCGCTTGGCCTCGCCGAGACGGCCCTGCATGACAAGCCAACGGGGAGACTCTGGCATGATGAGCACGACGACGGCCAGCATTACGGAGGGGATGGCGCCGACGCCGAGCATCAGACGCCATCCCAAGTAGGTGGGGAGCTTCGAGAAGGCGTAGTTTGATACGTAGCCGAGGAGGATTCCGGCGTTGATAAATACCTGTGAAAGTAAAAAAGTAATTACGTTAATTCATTTGATGGTAAGAAATACGGTGTCGTTTTTTAAAAATCTAGTTTTTAAAAAGAATTAAAAACTATGCCCTAAATTTCCCCAAAAAGAAAATAATACGATGCCCAACAAGAAAAAAAAAATAATTTTCTGATTGTAGGATGCACCAAGGTATAATCTACATCTTACTTTATGTTGAGGTATAGTGTTTAAATTTCTTTATTAAAAACAAAAAAAAAAAAAAAAACACACACACACACACACAAATCATGTCGAAAAAAATGTAAGTTTTAGGGTATATTCCTTCTACACCAAATGGCAAGGATATTAAAGTTTGTAAGTAAACTAAAAGCTATATATATACTAATAGTAAATTTTTTTATGACTTGCATATAATTTGATTGAAGTGTAGCGTTCAAATTTTTTGTTTGAAATTAAAAAAAAAAATAATAAATTATAAAACGAAATAATTTTTTAAGGATTTTTTTTTTTCTCTACACCTAATTAATTACTGGCAAGGAGATTAATTTTGGAGGTAAGCTAATCAAAAGTTATATACTGTCTTTCCATTAGAAAAAAAGTTATATATAGTAGTAGTAAATATTTTTATTAGACTTGTATACAACTCTCTATTATGATGAAATATATCGGTTTAGAAACACACCTTCAAATTTGATCATCATAAAGACATGAACATATATAGGTCAAGAAACGTGTTATGAAAACATGTTTATAAACATATATAGGTCAAGAAACGTGTTATGAAAACATGTTTTAGCTGGGTATAACTTTTGTGGTCTTTCAAAGTTTTGTTCTTCTTTCTTTTTTTTTTTTTTTTGGTTTTTAATCAAAATTCTTTTATTTTATTATTACTACTATTATTTTCACAAAGTTATTTACTATAATTAGATGTGGCGTGATCATGTGAAAGATGCATGTTGAGAGGATATGTATATATGACGGACCTCAGGGAATGAGGTAAGGAAGCCGCGGGAGGAGGCCGGGGAGACCTCGGCGGTGTAGACGGGGGCGATCATGAGGGCGTAGCCGACGCCGATGCCGGCGACGAAGCGGCCGAACATGAGGAAGGCGTAGTTGGTGGCGAACCCCATGAGGAGAGCGCCGGCGAAGAATATCGCCCCAGCGAGGACGATGGTGTAGCGGCGCCCGATCCAATCGGAGGTTCTCCCCGCGGCAGCGGAGCCGAGAAGGGAGTAAAGGTTGAGGATTCCGGTGAGGATTTCGACTTTCACGTCGCTGATTTTCAGGTCCTCTTTGATGAAAATGACTGCTCCACTCATTACACCAATATCTGCAGAGTAAAATAAGACATATGAATGTATGAAAACAAATATACGTAACACCACTTTCTTGCAAAAGATATAGACGGCGTCGTATAAGGGTCATGTTGACGACAAAACAAAAGGAATTTATGTACACAAGATCTGCCCGCGCCGATAAAAGAAACAAAACAAAAACTTGTGGGAAGCTAAAAATAGATCTACAACCACGTCAAGCGGCAGTCAAACGGGGCGTAAGGCCGTTTAGTAAACAAGTTCAAATGTTTTGAACCAAAAAGTTATTTTTGAACTAGCGTTCGGTGGTAAAACTTTTTTATACCAAGTCAAAACTACGAGAGTATATATATATATATATATATATATATACACACACACACATAGTCATATATGTAAATATACTTACCATAACCCAGTAAGATGGAAGTCATGGAAGCTAAAACAGCACAAGCAATAGCAAAGATGTTCTTTCTGGGTCTTTTGGGAGGGTCAAAGTCTGCAATAGTTTTCTGGGTTTGGCCGGAAATGCCATTCACTTCAGCTTTCCGGTCAGCCATCTCTTTCTAAGAGAGAGAGAGAGAGAGAGAGAGGAAAGAGCTTAGGAGAGAGAATCAAGTTTTAGAGAGAGAAGGACGTTTAGCTGGCCATATACAAAATTGTGCGGGGCTAGATGGTTGAGGTTAGAATGCTTATATAGACAAAAAGCCTGGCATACATCATGGTTGGACCATGATATCCCATAAAGCAGTCTTAGCTTTACGTAATTTTGGGTGGTTCATTTTCACTCCCTTAGTTGATACATAAAAGGAATATTTTATCTTAAAAAATAAAGAAAAAAAACCGAATAAAATGGTGTTTTAATATTTTTCCCCCTCTTTGGAAGCATCAAGTACTTTGTACTATTTAATTATTTACAGCAAAATGAAAAACATATAGGATTGGTATTAGTACAGGTAATCTAAGTTGAAAGGTTCACTATACATATTTTAATTAAACGTGTCAATCTGAACTACTTGAGGGTTTTTTTAATCTCTTTTTGAAATTTTTATTCGGATATAATTGAAAAAAACCGAATTAAATATTATATTGAAAACTGTTTTTGCCCATGGGGTTATATCCAGTGTCAACACCCTCTCACAAAAGGTGAGTCCCATCTGAGGGACAGGGATCCAAATGGGACTCACAAATTTTAATCTCTATGGAGACAAATAATTTCTAGACGAGTTTTTAATAATTAAGTTTTTATTAATAGGTACTATCAAATATAAAAATTTGATGATGTAATAAGATAATAATCAAGTTTCATTAATTGTCATAATTTTTTTGATCAACTATATAACTTATTTTAAATGTTAGATTAATATTTTACGGTAAAAATAATAATGCTCATTGATGAGTAAATATCATAGTAACCATTATACTCATATATCTACACAGAAAGAAAGACTCGTAATTAATTATATACACATGCAAGGATCTTAAATGATTGCATTAATTATTCCAAAGGCTCATAATAATAATTTCACTAAATTACTAAACAAATTAAGGCTTCGTTAGTTTTTCCATTCAATCACAACTAAAATTTTTTCTTACAGTATTTTTTTTATAAAAATTTAAATTCAATCTTTTCTATTATAATATTTTCTCTCAAATAAATTTATTTTTCAATATAAATTCTCAACTCAAATAAATGATGGCCTGAAGAATGTGCATCCCGTTATGGATGATGCAGCTTCTCGGTTTGGCAAAGTGTTCTGTAAATCATTTATTTGTGCAAGATGTGTATATATAGCAATGAAGAGTATACATATTAATATGGTTCCTTTCTAGCAAAAGAATAAAAGATATATATGGTAGCTAAAAGAATAAACAAATAAGAATGAAAAGATGCATATAAAAGTTGTCATATGTTGGTTTATAAGCAAATGATTGTGCATCCAAATAATATATATATATATATATATAGTAATTGTATCCAGCCAGAAAATATAAAGATGGTTTATGCAACTTGGCCTTGTGGGTCGACAATGACAAAAACATGCTCTGTTTCTAGCTCAACCCCCCACGACTCATGAGCTCTCCTTTGTCTTTGCTTGGCTTAATTTCCCACACGGTTGCCAATGAAGATTCACGGTCGACATGATCCAGTCTGTTTGTTTGGCGAATTTGAATAACATTGTAAACTTTTTCTTAGTCTTCTTTTTTTATAAATAATTTAAATTTTTGCTCAAACTATCTACAAAACAAACCGTATTTATAATTAGAGTTGTTCACTTTAGTGATTAAAAATAGCCCATGATCTATGCTACTAAATGTAATATTAGGAGGCTTTTTATTTTTAATGAGAATGCATGAGACTCAAATTAAAAATGTTTGAGACAATATTGATCAGGTGTGTAAAAATGGGACAAACCTGTGCCTATGACAGACACACAGGTGCGATCATGATTTTCTAGTTTGAACATTATTCATGTACGTGATAAGTAAAAGTTGAGATAATTATTTTAGCTTTATATATTATTGCTTTTTTTCTTTGGCTCACGAAAAAAAGGCAATATAGAAAGTTCAAATAATGCTCTCAACTTTTTTAGTACATTAAAAAAAAAAAAAAACTTTTATTTATTGCTTACATGAATAATGAACAAACTATAGAAAACATAAGTAATAATATTTCTAAGAGAAATTAGGTGAAGACAGGTGGCCGATTTTGGCCATCTTTTTGAAAAAAAAAAATGTCTGCTTTTTTTTTTTTTTTTTTTTTTTTAAATCATATTGGCTGAAATTAGTTAAACATTATTATATCGATCAATTAGCTAGTAATTGACTGATTGACTCACTTACAGCTTGATATCTTAAAAACAACTATTTTTTCAATTTAACAAATTTTGGGACATTTATTATATCAGTATTTAAAAAAAAAAGTTACTTTTCTCACATTTCCATATTTCTAACTACTTAATTAGTGAACAACTTCAACTATTCAATTTAATTAACGATCATTTTCGCCTGTTTATTTATACTCCTATATATAATTGTTTCCTTTTCAATCGGATTAGAAAAAGAAACGGCAGCAAAAATAAAATAAAATATAGGCATAAAAAAGGGGCCATATTGCTTAACAACGCTTACTTTAGGCATGTGCTCTAATTTGTCTATGATAAAAATGGGACAATTCTTTAGCCACGGTCTAAATAAAAAAAAAAGGGGGGGGAATAAAAAAGAGGGAGCAAATTATAATTCACCTTAACATTTCAACAAATTAGCTTTTGGGATATGTTGAAAACTTTTTGGTTGGTAGCCTTCTTATATTAACATTGCCAGCCCTTGCTGCATTTGGATATAATGGCCTAGTTTGTGGTGTAAATGCTATACAATTTTGCCAACTTTATAGTAACTGGGGAAACTGCTAGAATATTGGTAATGGCTCACTAGCTCATGTAGCTTATCCGTTTTTCTTCAAAGACGTGAAATATTGAAATAAAGTACAATTTTAAAAAATGTTATTAATTTCAATATTATCATTCATGAATATTGTAAAACTATTTTTTTTTTTTTTATGAGTAATGTTAGGGACAACAACCTAAATCTCAACTTTTGTATATTAACTGACGTGATATGTGAATTGTCATCTTTTTATTAATAAATGTAATCTCTTATTATTAATTGATGTGATAATACTTTAAACACTTATTAATATAAAAATAAGTACTCATATATCACATGAATTAGTATATAAAAATTAAGATTTAAATTAGTGTTTTTAATATTATTTTTATTTTTATTTATAAAAGCGTGAAAAGGACAAGGTTTTTTTTTTTTTTTTTTTTTTTTTTTTTTTTTTTTTTTTTTTTGGAAATCAGTGAGATAAATACAAAAGAGGATGGGCGGATTTATTCAAAAGACTTTCTCTGATTTGTCGAATTGTGGCTGTGAAACTGGCTCTACTAGTTCCTTGAGTCAACAAAGATGGGCTGATCATATCATATCCAGGTTTGGCCCACTTGAGCTCTTTCTAAAGTGTGAAGGAACAACATGGTGCTTGGCTCTTTTCTAATTTCATCCATTATTATATCTCGCTCTTCAAATATTATTTATTTTACTCTAATAGGTATAAATTATTTGGATCAAATTTCGGGTTTGTTTTTGGATGGCTTTTACTTTTAATTTTAAGTTGTTTGGATAATACATACAAAAGATGGAGGTTTTGAATTCTGAAGAGCTTTTAAATCTATTTGATTAAATGAATCAAAAGTTATTACTATAACAAAAAGAAAGTGTAATACACAGATATTGATGCAATTTTTAATTTTTTATTCAGAAAAAGGTTAAAAAATATATATAAAAAAAATTATTTAACTTTTCGTAATTTCTTTTTTATAAGTCTGAAAGAGACTTTCTAAAAAGAGCTTATAAAACTAAAACGTGTCAGGTACGGACTCTCTTATTCAATGCTTTTAGGGAATTTTTGAGCTTTTACTCAACATGAAATTCATTTTTACCACGAGATCATATGGGTGTGTGTGTGTTTGATTATGAGCATATATTATTGTAGACACGTATAGTATGAAAAAGAATTAATTTTCTTGTATAATTACTTGACCAACAAAGCATATATATATATATGTGACCAAAATGTTAAACGCCTGACTCACAGACACAATGTCAAAAGTTTCGGATAATAACCCTAATAGAAAATATTATTACTGTTAACTAGCTACCATGGTTTTTGGGGTATGCCATTTACTATTATGACCATGATGAAAGAGATAAAGTTTATAAAATTCAAAAGAGTATTACTACTTCATCAATGATGATAGCAACGACTGTCGTTGAACAATAACTAATCTGACATGTGACGATACACATTGACTAGGAATAATGCAAAAATCTCTAAGCAGAAGACATAATCAGGCAATAATTTACCGTTTTTTAGTTTCTTTTTCTTTTCACTTTCTATATATAAATTTATCATTTCTGACTATGACCATTAGTATTAGAGTAATTATTTGCCCTTGACAATATTCCTTTGTAAGTATATATATAACCCCTAAAATAAACTTTATTCACTTGAATAGCTAGGTTAGACATGAAATAAAAGACCTTGAAAAGTTGTTAGAAGACCTTGAAAAGTTGTGGATTTAAATAGTTTATTAAAAAAATAATCAAGTTATTTTTCTTTTACTTAATGATAAAGGTATATAATTAATTTGCAGTTAAATGAGCATATGATATAGACATATAGGTAATTATATGATAGTTTTTTTGAACTAGTTATGGAAATTATTGATTGTGTTGAATTGCGCGCGTGTGTTTAGTTGGTAGATTCGTATTATGATTCGTGGTTCGTTACAGTATTTTCTGTCACAAAAATACACGTAAATTGAGAACAATTCTGAATCATAGTTCTGAATCTATGAACCAAACGTGCTGAGTTGCGATCAAACGAGCTATAAAGTTTTTACCAGCTTTGATCAGCAACAAAAAAAAAAGTTTTACCAACTTTAAAAATTTCAATTGCTCAATAATTAAAAAAAAAAAACTTGGCGTAAACTAAATTATAATCAAGCACACCTGAACTGTCCACAAAATTAAATAGTAAACCGCAGTTAATTAATTACTAAACCTTTTTTCCATGTTACTTCGGAATCTTTTGTATGACCTATAGGTATC